GACGCTGGTAGGTGGCTCCTGCATTTTTTAGTCCAAAAGGCATGACCTAGTAGTAGTACGTTCCTTGCTCAGTTATAAAGGAGGTTTTCTCTTAGTCAACTGGATCCATTCTGATTTGATTATATCCTAAGAAAGCGTCTATGAAACTGAGGAGTTCATGTCCAGCTGTGGCATCTACTATCAAGTCTATCCCAGGTAAAGGAAAGCTATCCTTGGGGCATGCTCGGTTGAGATCAGTAAAGTCAATGCACATTCACCACTTGCCATTGGTTTTCTTGACCAGAACCACATTGGCTAGCTAGGTAGGGTAGTCAACTTCCCTAATGGCTCTGGCGTAGAGAAGTTTGCTGACCTTCTGGCATTCTGGGGCAAAACTCCTTCGTTTTTGCTTGACCGTTCTGCCGGTGGGATTCACACTTAGCTTATGTGTGATAATCAAGGGGTCGATTCCTTCCATGTCTTCCTACTTCCAGGCGAATACTCCCCTATTCTCCTTTAGGAATTGGATGAGGAGGTCTTTTATTTCCTTGCTTAGCTTAGACCCGACGTAAACAAGGTGTTCTGGCTCCTCATCAAGCTGGACAGGTTCTAGCTCTTCTGATGGTTTTGGCCTAGTATCCAGTTCGTCCCTCATATCTAGCTCATCTAGCTGGACATTCTCGACCTCTTTCTGTTTCATCGAGGTCATATAGCACTCCTTTGCTACCCGCTAGTCTTCTCGGACCACTCCAATTCCATTTTTCGTAGGGAATTTCATAACCAAGTGATAGGCAGAGGGATTGCCTTCATCGCATTGAGGGAGGGCCTCCCGAGAAGCATATTATATGCATAAGGGACATCCACCACTAGGAACCTTACTATGGTGGTGGCCTGGCAGGGACAATCTCCCATAGTGAGGACGAGCCGGATTGAACCTAGGGGCAATACCCTTTCTCCTGCAAAGCCCAACAGGTAAGCACTGACCGACTCTAGTTTTTCCCTACCTATGCCCATTTTGTCAAATGCAAAAGCGAATATAATATCTGCTAAGCTCCCGTTGTCAATTAAAACTCAGTAAACGGTTCTATTAGCCACAATAGCTCTTACCACCAGTGGGTCATCATGGGGCTGTTGGTAGCCTTCCAAGTATGAGTTTGAAAAGGTGATGGCCGTGTTCAGCTGAGGTGCCTTGGACACCGCGTGTATTTTCAGTGCTTCACCAGTTCTGATTCTACGCAGGTAAGCCTGCCGAGCAGAGCTAGACTCCCCACCCCCTGCGAACCCTCCAGAAATTACTCTAATTTTGCCCAGGGGTTGTTGATACAACACAAGAGCCTGTTGCTGAGGTGGTGGAGGTGGAGGGGCTCGGTCCTGATTATCCCGAGCTACATAATGGTGCAACTGACCTCGCTAGATCAAGAACTCAATCTCTTTCTTCAGTTGGATACAATCATCAGTATGGTGGCCATAATCTCTATGGTATTCGCAATACTTTATGGGATCTCTCTTTGTTGGGTTTGCTTTTATTCGAGGTGGCCACCTTAGAAACTTCTCGCTCTGTACCTCATATAAGATTTGAGATATCGTTGCGGTGAGTGGGGGGAGCTGCCGAGGTGCGTACCTTGGCTGTAGCTCTGGCTGTGGCGGACCTAAGCGATCTCTAACATCTCCCCTCCTTTTGGGGGAATGATCTCTATCCCTTCTTGGAGACCTATCACGCCCTCTTTCTCTTCTGGGACTTCGGTCCCTTTTCTTTTCCTCTTTCCCTTTGTCTTTTTGAGTAGAGGAACATCCCACCTTTGAGAGAAGAGCTTCTTCACCATTTATATATTTTTTTTCCTTAGCCAATACCTCAGCCATGCTTGCCTGAGGGTTCTTTGAAATAGAGAACATCAGATCTTTGGATTGCATGCCTAGACCAGCTATAAACACCGTAATGACAAACTTCTCATCTGGGATATCCACTTTTAGGGACTCCGAGTTGAACCGCTGGACATAAGACCTAAGGTTCTCTTGGGGTCCTTGCTTCACGTTCAACAAGTGGTAGCTCGGCTTCCTGTATATCCGGGCTCCTATGAAGTGAGATACGAAGGATTTAGAAAGCTCTTTAAAGGAGTAGATTGAGGTCAGGGGGAGCGTATTGAACCATGCCAAGGCTGACCCTTTTAGTTTGATGGCGAAGGCTCTACAGTGCACTAGATCTTGGTATCTGTGGAGCTCTATCTGGTTTTTATAGGTATTTAGGTGGTCCACAGGGTCCTTTGTCCCATCAAAAGCTTCTATCTGTAGCATCCTGAGTTTCGGGGGGAGGGGAAAATGCAACACTCCTGCGGTGAATGGTGACTCAGTTTGTTGCACTAGGGCATCCATTGTAACTGGAACCTTGTTCTTCACAGCTTCCTTTATATGGCTGAGCTCTAGCCGGATACCATTAAAGCGCTGCTCTCAGTACTACTCTCTCCTCTCCTGTTGATAGGGGAGAAAATCATTCCTTTCTTCCCCAATGTTTTGACTCTGCACCTCTTCATTATGTCCATTCCTTGGGGGTGGATGAAGATCTTGTCCCCAAGTCTGACTATTTTTCCCTCCTTCACCAACTTCTCTAAGGGGATCGAGATGTTGTTGCTCTTTGTGAGGGGGGTTATTCTGGCCTTCTTGGGCCGGTTGTGTCTCCTCAGGGCGTTGCAAGAGCTTCAGGAGCTCTTCATTCTACCGTATCAGGCATTGATTAACTAGGCGAAGGGCCTCCAACTTGTTGTTTGAATGGGGGTTCCCCATGGTAGGATTGGTCTCTGGGACGTTTTCAAGCTATTTGTCGTAGGTGGCTTCCTGTTATTCTTGCATCTGTGGTAGATTGGTCTGGCTTCTGCTCATGTTACGGGTTGAAACCATCAGTCACTGAAAGATCATTGTATTTGTAATAGGAACAATCGTTCCCACAGATGGCGCCAAACTGATGGTATAAATTAGTGTGGATGAGCAGAGGGAATAGATTTTACTTGGTGACTGGGATCTAAGCTACGAGGCTCGTGTAGTTCGTGTTCAAGATTGTTGGGGATTGGGGGTGACTCACAGAACAAAAGTATATTGGTTTACCAGCTCGGGAGCTCAGCTAGTCCACTTTTCAATGGAGATTCTTGTTCCTTTTCTCTTTCCTCACTATTCAGAAGGTTTACAGGATAGAACATATGTCTTTTTTTCACCCCCCCCATTCTGGGAGAGTTATATAATATTTATAGGGCTATTCCTAGTTCTATGGCTACACCGAGATCCTTGCTATTCATCCAAGGACTTCTCCTTGATCTTAAGAGAGGATCTTGGCTGGTTAAGGATTTTATGCCTTGTGTATGGCTCTTTGCCACCTAACAGATTTCTGTTATCATCCAGCTGTCTCCTTATCACTTCCGCTGTTGGCGCGTATGGGGGGAAAATCTGGCTTTGACCTGAGCTCTGCGTGCCTTTCCTGTCTTCTTATCCAGACCTGTTTGATCTAACCTCTTGATCTGACCCCNGTTGATTAACTAGGCGAAGGGCCTCCAACTTGTTGTTTGAATGGGGGTTCCCCATGGTAGGATTGGTCTCTGGGACATTTTCAAGCTATTTGTCGTAGGTGGCTTCCTGTTATTCTTGCATCTGTGGTAGATTGGTCTGGCTTCTGCTCATGTTACGGGTTGAAACCATCAGNATTGATTAACTAGGCGAAGGGCCTCCAACTTGTTGTTTGAATGGGGGTTCCCCATGGTAGGATTGGTCTCTGGGACGTTTTCAAGCTATTTGTCGTAGGTGGCTTCCTGTTATTCTTGCATCTGTGGTAGATTGGTCTGGCTTCTGCTCATGTTACGGGTTGAAACCATCAGTCACTGAAAGATCATTGTATTTGTAATAGGAACAATCGTTCCCACAGATGGCGCCAAACTGATGGTATAAATTAGTGTGGATGAGCAGAGGGAATAGATTTTACTTGGTGACTGGGATCTAAGCTACGAGGCTCGTGTAGTTCGTGTTCAAGATTGTTGGGGATTGGGGGTGACTCACAGAACAAAAGTATATTGGTTTACCAGCTCGGGAGCTCAGCTAGTCCACTTTTCAATGGAGATTCTTGTTCCTTTTCTCTTTCCTCACTATTCAGAAGGTTTACAGGATAGAACATATGTCTTTTTTTCACCCCCCCCATTCTGGGAGAGTTATATAATATTTATAGGGCTATTCCTAGTTCTATGGCTACACCGAGATCCTTGCTATTCATCCAAGGACTTCTCCTTGATCTTAAGAGAGGATCTTGGCTGGTTAAGGATTTTATGCCTTGTGTATGGCTCTTTGCCACCTAACAGATTTCTGTTATCATCCAGCTGTCTCCTAATCACTTCCGCTGTTGGCGCGTATGGGGGGAAAATCTGGCTCTGACCTGAGCTCTGTGTGCCTTTCCTGTCTTCTTATCCAGACCTGTTTGATCTAACCTCTTGATCTGACCCCCTGGTTTGACCTCATGGTTGGAAATTATTTTGAGTACCATCAGTACCCATCAATTTTCCTTTCACTCGCTTCAACCACAACCTCCAATCAAGTGCAAAAATCAAATGTATAGTGATGGACCTTATACGTGAAAAAAGGGTGGAATTGAAAGAACAAAGGGCTTCTTCTCAGCAAGATCTCACCACCTGTTTGATAAAAATCCGCAATGAAGACGGTTCTGCTGTATTGTCTGGTGAGGAGATTGTGGACAATTGCATCCTTGTAATGCTTGCAGGACATGACACATCTTCTATCCTTCTTACCTTTTTGGTCAAGCACNAATCACTTCCGCTGTTGGCGCGTATGGGGGGAAAATCTGGCTCTGACCTGAGCTCTGTGTGCCTTTCCTGTCTTCTTATCCAGACCTGTTTGATCTAACCTCTTGATCTGACCCCCTGGTTTGACCTCATGGTTGGAAATTATTTTGAGTACCATCAGTACCCATCAATTTTCCTTTCACTCGCTTCAACCACAACCTCCAATCAAGTGCAAAAATCAAATGTATAGTGATGGACCTTATACATGAAAAAAGGGTGGAATTGAAAGAACAAAGGGCTTCTTCTCAGCAAGATCTCACCACCTGTTTGATAAAAATCCGCAATGAAGACGGTTCTGCTGTATTGTCTGGTGAGGAGATTGTGGACAATTGCATCCTTGTAATGCTTGCAGGACATGACACATCTTCTATCCTTCTTACCTTTTTGGTCAAGCACTTAGCTGAGGATCCATCTGTACATGCAGCTGTTGTTAATGGTATGGGCAACACCTTTTTTCTGCCTCTGCAGTGCAACCTCTTTTTCTCAGTCTATAAAGAATCAAAACTAACATCCATATCAAGATGAAGTTATTGGAGTTTAATTACTAGTTTAAGCTAGAGACACTTTACCTTTCTGTATTTTAGGAACTTCAGTATTTTTTTTCTTAAAGTTCTTTGTAGATTGAAGAACCTACTATACAAAGGTAAGAGAGAAATATATTGATCTATTTAGAGTGACAAATAAAAAAGTATAATATCTAGGGGCATAAAAGTCATTTTAATCTTTTACTATATTAAAAAGAATACTGATTTGTAGTATCTAAGAGTAAATTTAACGATTTTAGTTTTATCCAACACCGTAAGAGGTTCTTACTAGCGGTTACCCCGAGTGATGCACAAAATTCATAATTTCTCCCAGTATCACCCAACTCCCATTCCCTAAGCGCCACCCCTGCCCTCAACCCCACCTCCAACACCCTACTATTATAGGACAATTACCTATTAATGTCATAAATAGTTTTTTAAGAGAATTTAAATGTGATAAAGTCAACAAAGATAATGGAAGATTCACATTTGAATTAGCTTAAAAAGATGGTGGAAATATTACATAGGTCACTTGGAATGGTTTAAGGGGGAGGAAAAATATGCATTTTTATTAAATAATTGAAAATAATGAGAATTTAGTATTTGTGAAGGGAATTATTGCTAAGCTCTCTCTTCTCCGAATTGATCGTTATAGTATAGAGTATAGAGTATAGAGTATAGATAAGAAGGTAATGTATTAGTGGATCAATCTAAAGGGAGATATATATTTCTTTGAATGCCCATAAATAAATATTGACACATGCTATAATTTGAGATTACATAACAAGAGGAGATTGCTAAGAGCAAGGCTTATGGAGAGTTGCTGACTTGGGATGACCTTGCCAAGATGAAGTACACATGGAGAGTAGCAATGGAGACTCTAAGGGTGGCCCCACCTATATTTTGTAACTTCAGGACTATTGTCAAAGATTTTGAATATGGAGGATATCTAATTCCCAAAGAATGGCAAGTATGAGACAACATCAATGATGTTTTGCTTGTTTATTTTATCTGATATGTAGCTTGATAACCAATACGTAATTCTTCAAACGAAATTTCAATGCATAATATTTTCGTCATTTAAGAATCTAGGAAAAGTTAGATGTACACATTACTATTAGCCCTGCATGCAACAAGATTATTTCCATAATTTAAACCCGTGACTTTCATATAGAATCACTGTGTCTTTAATTTATAGTTATAAGAACAAGTTCTTACAGAACTTTCTGATGCACAGATAATTTGGGCTGCTTGTATGACACACATGGATGAGACCATCTTCCCCGATCCATCAAAGTTTGATCCAACACGCTTTGAACAACAAAATCCAGCCCCGCCTTATAGTTTGGTGGCATTTGGAGGAGGACCAAGGATGTGTCCTGGTAATTAATTTGCAAGGACTGAAACTCTGATAATGATTCATCACTTGGTGACTTCATTCACCTGGAAGCTCTCTTCCAAAGACAATTCTTTCAGCAGAAATCCACTGCCAGTCTTCCAAGAGAGACTACCGATCCATGTTGGGCTAAAGAAACCACCTAATGCAGGGTAATACTATGTAATCTCTGCTAGTAGACAAGAGACTAATGAAATCTAATACATTATTGTGTCCATGGTTCCTTACCAATTACCATGAAAATAATGGATATATACTACGAGTATGGTAGAAAGTATAGAGGGAGGATTTAAGAAAAAATTCAAGAGCCACAAGAAAAGTTCCTTGAGAGAATAGTAGGTGACCATTTGGTATATATATTAAGAAATTACAAGAGTAGTCATGAACAAATAAATTTCTTATGTTAAGATTTGTCAGGCAATGATATATTAGATCATGACATTTTCATGGCCTACTCATCTTAAACACCAAATGAAGCCGCACAAATATATATACACACACACACACACATATATATATATATATATATATATGTATATGCTTGTTTATATATTGATATATGTAATAGGTAGTTACAACTATAAGGGGTGAAAAATCTTACAAACTTATATGATTCAATCAGGAACAAATGAACAAAGGTTGCACCATGCCTCCTGCAAAATGAGCAAACTGTCAAGGAAGGGAGCGGTCGAAAGTACTCCGATGCTTAAGTCAATAAAGGTTTTTAAAGTGTATCCAAAGTTTGTTGTAGGAAAAGTAGTATGTACCTTCATCCTTAAGCTTAACCCTGTATTTATAATATCATCTGGTCACCTTTCCCTAGGGTTCTAGTCCATGGTCGTATGAGATGGCACACCTCATATTTAGCTGGATTGCTAGTAATGAATGTTGAAATCCCTTTCAGCATGATTCGCTTATTTATTTGGACAAGTTGATAATGTTTATTCATGATTTGGGTAATGTTCCTATCAATAAAGCACTGTCTCTGATTGTTTGAGATGGTGTAATCCTCGTTGTTAAGACCAATCCTAGCTAAATTTTATCTGCTCTTTTTTATCGGCTGCCTGTTTGGCCTATCTGACCGAGCACATTTGCTCGGTTGAATGTAGAACATTTCCCGAATACGTGATGCCTACTTCGGCTCTAATTTACTGATCTGAATAATTACCATGTTGGCCACGTGACCTTTGTCACGTGCCTGTACTTGTTTTGAATCATTAAATGTCTAATTATGTGCAATAATTCTATGCCCCTTCAATGATGAAATTATTGTTACAATTTGTAAATAACACATTTATCTTAAATGAAAAATCACACACTGAGAGGTGTGTGCCTTTTCTTTTACTGAACCCTAATCGAGACAAAAATTCAGGTCTCTTGTGAAAGAGAAAATGTTCATCTTTCTGACAGATTGTTGTAAAACATGTATATAATTAAATTATATTAAACTATATAAAATATAACTTATGCACTAATTTAAATAGAATGTATAGAAATCAAAATCAGTGCATTTACATTGACGCAGAACAACATAAATAGTAAAATCCAGAAATCTAATAAAAACAATAATTCGAGTCCTATGTACTCACAGTTTCCTTAAGACAGATTTGCTCCCTCTTGATGCTTAAGGCTGATAAGCAACTATCTCCCAAGATAGAATGAATTTCTTTCTTGAAAATCCAGCACTTCAATCTCCAAGACTCCAACAAACACAATTCTATGTTTATACTTGAACCGAACTTGAAATATTAATGCAATAATATGTATAGAGAGAAGAAAGACTGAATATTTAATTTAATATTTTGGATAATTGAGAAAACTAGAATGAAAGAGTAATTCTTGAATTGTTCAATGGTATATTTTGGGAGTACGAGGAATTACCTATTTATAGACTCACTAGTGGCTTTTAATAAAAGGGTGTAACGATATGTAATGGTACATTTTAGTCCAAAGGGTATCAATGGTAACTTTATGAAAAGGTACAACTATTTGAAATTGTATCTTTTAGTTTAAGAGATATCAATGGTGACTTTATGAATAGTTGCGACTATTTGTAATGATGTCTTTTAACCAAAAGGTGTTAATGGTGGCTTTACGAAAAGATGGAACTATTTGGATTGGTGTCTTTAACCAAAAGTCACCAATTTTGAATTAGTAGCCTTTCATGTCATATTTACTTCACACCTTATCAATTGCTCTCAAAAGTCACAAAGACTTAAACAATTTCTCATTCAATACTTAATGGTTTTTTTAAATAAATATACCATTATTTCTGACAGGTTTATTGTTAAAGATACCACATCAAAGTTTACTAAAAAATGTGAGATTATAATTATGATGTTAAGACTTAGTTTGCGTCAAGTTACAACGCTAAAACAATAAGTTGCCAAAAGAAAATTAGAATAAATCATAACATTCTAATTTTGATTCCAAATAATATGAATTTATACTAATATCACTAAATTGAGCAATACCTTTTTTTTTGTTAGACACATTAAATAAGAGAGAGGGGGATGACAAGGTTCAAACCTACGACTTGAAGGTCCAACAGTGGGGGCGGTGACAATTAGGCCAACCGCTAACCTTACTAAATTGAGTGATACACTTATCTTTCTTTCATAGTAACTTTTGAGAAATTACTCTTCAGTACTGTAATCTTACTATATGATTTAATTTGACTAGAAAAAAGGAATTTGCAATCAATTGGGATGATAGAAAAATTCTTGAATTCATGAGGCCATTTACTTCTGCTGAAGCCGATGCCATTTTCTTCAAGCCAAAGTCATTTGTAATCGCAAGGCTCGCAAGTAAGTTGTCAACGGACCAGGTATTGATTTCTTATTTTATATTTGAATCATATGGTTCGCTAATAAGCTGTCAGTGGATCGGATATTGATCAACTGTCTTATATCCGAATATGATGAAAATCTACTAGACCTAATCCGAGTACTTGAAAGATTTAAAAAATTAAATCCATGTATGTATTCATTAATCTTTGGACATCTAATTATCATAAAAAATACGAGTTTCATTAGAAATTTCCAATATCACCAATCAACTTCAGCTAAAAACTAAGTAGAATCAACAATCAGATCTGAAAAAAAATCATTAGACATTGGATCACAAATCAATGCGCTAGCTTGTTTTGAGAATTTCACCCCGCAATCATTCGTATATCAAATAATCAACTATTTGCTTGTCATAACAAAAAATCAAATCCGCATAGAGGGGAGACATCACAGAGTGTCTGGGGAGGGTTTAAACAACCAGTGTGGGAGAAGAAGGCATTGAGAAAGGATCTAGGACACAAGAGAGGAATAAGTTTGGGTGGTGTGCGTTTGTGTGTATTTGTGTGTGTATATGTATGAGAGAGAGAAAGAAGAAGAAGAAGAAGAAACCTAGGGTGAAGGAGAAGAATTTGGAGCGGACACTAGATGGAGGAGGAAGAAAGAGAAGAATAGACAAAATGCAAGAAAAAGCTGAAGTAGTAAAAAAGAGAGGGAAAGAAAATAAAAATAGTAAAGGTTATTGCTTTAAGAATAGAAAAGGTTATTGATTAAATTTTTCAATTTGCATCTTTAATGTATTAAAATATTTGTTTTTCAAGTCGTTGGAGAGAAAGGCCATGAATGTTAGGTTAATAGTTAGAAGATATGGCTTCAACAATTAGAAGTTACCGCCTATAAATACAAAACACCCAGCAATAGAGAAAAGATCCCACGATCAACACTCCTAAAAACCGCACACCAGAGCTCTCTCTACACTATTTACGCTTTATAATTTTTAGTTCACTTTGTAATTCTATTGTTCCGACAACTTCTTCCAGTTTCAATACTATAGTTTACAAAGCATATCTTCTTTGTTATTTGTTTTACTACTTATTTCAATTCCATTCGGTCCTTTTTTACTTCCCAATTTGTTAACCTTCTCCTCTCATGGAAATAGTTTGAGTGCTTGATATCCAAGCCAAGAAAAGAACTTAGAAATAGCCTTATGCTTTGTTTCAATCGCCTGAACAATCACAATCTTAGAACCTCAACTCGGTTCGAACAGGTAAGTTTGTAGTATTTTGATTAATGAAATTNTGCCTAAACAATCACAATTTTAGAACCTCAACTCGGTTCGAACAGGTAAGTTTGTAGTATTTTGATTAATGAAATTCGTTAGGACTTTGGCACACCCATAATCCAAATTCGCCAAAACATATTTTTTTGGCATGCCTGGTGGGACCCATCACAAGAGAATAACACATACCAAAGGAAAATCCAAATTTGACTTAGCAGACATGCCTCTGAGGCACAAGATAGTTAAAGAATCCAAGTCTTTCATTCCCAACCTACAAGAAGAATTGCCTCCACCAAAGGGGCAAGAAAATTGAGAGTCTGACTCAAAGTTGGTGGCTTTGATTAGTGCACTCTATTAGGAGGTTTATCTAAGACCTTGAATAGACAAGGGGCAGCAAGGCAGCAGCCGCTACTCGTAGCAATTGCACCAGTGGAGGCACAACCAGTGCTTTCTCCATATTTACCTCCACTAAGGGTATAGTAGGGCAAAAATGGCCCATGGAGAAACAGTAATCTTTTTTTTTAGGAGGATATGCAACCCATTCCCAAGGTAGGGGAAAAGAAGGTAGTGGCCAATTGTTGTTCTATGCAACACAACAGGTGATCATAAGTAACGATCAACTAGATAAGATTATGCAAGACCACGTCAACCCCTCCAAGGCATGTCGCTAGGTTGAACAATCGAAAGCCATGCCCTAAATAGGTGGATAAAGAGCACAAATATCCACGTGGCTATGAAGTTACTCTATTTGCAACGTTCTCAGGAGAAGACAGTCAATTGATTATGGAACATATTGAGCCTTCCATTGTACAGTGTGGTGAAGCAAGTGAGGATGTGTTTCTGAATTTGAGGTTGTTTGAAAATTCTTTAATTGGAATCACTTTCCAATGGTAAATCGACTTGTTGCCTGACTTAGTGTTTAGCTAATA